TTAGCTACGCAATCGCAGTATGGGTACACTGTCTCCTATAAAAAAGTTTGGTTGGCAAACCAAAATGCCATTGTCAAACTTCATGGCGAATGGGATGCATCTTATAACGAACTTATAGGTTGGTTTAGGCTGGTGCGGACGTTGAATCCTGGGACAATTATGGACTTCGAAAGCTCCTATGCATACCATAATGATCGAGTTATTCGCGATCGAAGCCAATTCTACCGGGTTTTTTGGAGTTACCCACAGTGCGTTAATGCTGCCAAATACTGCAAGCCTGTGGTCCAGATCGACGGGACTTTCTTGTATGGAAAATACAAGCAAGTTTTATTATTGGCAGTTGTCTAAGATGGTAATCGCAACATTCTTACAGTTGTTTTTGCTCTTGTCGAAGGAGAAGATACAAATTCTTGGGCTTTTTCCCTCATAAATTTATGCGCACATGTTATCACGAAGGAAAATATCTGTGTCATTTCAGATCGTGGAGCTGGGATCAAAGCAGCAATGGAGTCTTTGGGTCCAATGTGGCAACCACCCTTTGTCCAACATAGGTATTGTCTCTGACACATTGCTGCGAACTATCATGAAAGTACAAGAAGAATGATGAGTGTCAATTAATTGTGCACATGGGTAAGTGAAACTGATGTAGTTTGTTTTCTTTCAATCGTTTTAATTTTGCAAAGAAAGCAAGTTAGTAAGATATACATATTTTGATCAGGTTACGAACTACTTCCTCGAACGTTTGAATCAATGCTTCAAGATTTGCGGGCGAAGAACGAGGAATGATACGATTACATCATCCTCATCGATAAAGAAATATGGACGAACGCATATGATGGTGGATATCGATATGGACACATGACGACCAACTTGGCTGAGGCAATCAATTCAACCTTAAAGGGTGCACGTCACTTACCTGTAGCGGCTTTGGTAAAAACTACATATTTTCGTTAAGGGGCACTTTTTGCGAAGCTCGGGGGACAAGCTCAAACCTAGATGCAAGGCGATCATGTCTATCACCCTAGATTAGTTGCAGATCTACAGAAAAAAAAATTGCTGCATCAAATGGAATGTCTGTTACAAGCTTCTCTAGAAGGCATGAATTGTTTCGTGTCACAGAGTTATCGCGACCACTTCAAGGGATTGAAGTTGTGTCGTTAAGAGTAAATCTAAGGGACAGAACGTGCGACTGCGGGTTTTTTCAAGCTCTGAAGTATCAATGCTCTCATCTGATAGCAGCTTGCTCGCATACACGTCAAGACTATAACCATTTTGTGGATCCCGTATATCTACTATCTGAAGATTTTAAGGTATACAAATTTGAGTTTCCACCCATAGGTAATGACAAAGACCCTGACGAGGTTCAAGATTAGCTTCCGATTGTACCAAATCCGAGTTTATTGAGGGAGTGTGGTCGTCCAAAATCCAATTGTATTCATTGCGATATGGATATTCGAGAAAGATCTAGACAAGACAGAAGATGTGACCATTGTAGAAACCCAGGACACACTAGAAAAACATGTCCACTTCTGTTGTCATCAAGTAACAATTGATGAGGAAATGATGTATTTGTTTATCAAATAATAATTCTTGTACTTTAATTTGCATTTACTTCAAGTTAATGTCATTCGATAATCGCTGATGAAGATTAAAAAACTGAACACAATCATTAAATTTTATCAAACTAATAACAATTTGGTATTTAAATACAACAAACTTACAATAAGAATTAAATGGTAAATGATAACCAAATTACAATAACTGATATTAAATGGTAATAAACAAAATTAACTGAAATACATTAAAAAATCCAACAAATTTAACAAAATAAAGTAAGTATTAAATGATAAATAATAAAAAATTACAATTTAACAAAATAAAGTAAATACAAATATAAAAAAAATCTATCGATGCATGCGTCGCGAATGTGTTCTGCAGTGCGGTGGCTGTCGGTCTCGAGGAGGATTTCTTCGTATCACTGGTTCTAACTCCTCGCTGTCATCATCATCGTCGTCATCGTCCTGAGCAGGTACTTTAGGTTGATGAGGAGCTGATGACGATGAAGCACCTCCATAAAATAAGGACCCTGGAGGTGTATGATTGATTATCCCACTGGCATGCGAAAACTGGGAAAACTCATAAAACCCAGACATCGTTGAGTGTGAAAACTGTATATGAGGTGTATTTACTGCGGCTATGGGTGATGAGGCTGAACCCGCCAGATACCCAGTATATGAACCCCAAGTCAGATCTACAAACATAGACCCATAATAGCCTCCAGGAGGGGTCATATGTGACGGTGGTGGAGGCGGGGTCATAAAATCAGTTGAAGGCGGCGACGACGACATCTAGTAATGGAAAGGCGGCGGCGGCGACATCTGGTAATGGAAAGGCGGCGGCATCATATATGGCTACGGCATCATAAATGGTTGCGGTGGCTGCTGTGATGGTCCTGCTGGTGCAGTTGAGGATGAACCGGAAGCACCTGCTCTCCGTCCACGAGTCGGGGGACGATAGTGCTGTGTCGGTGAACATCTTTTTCGACGTCACAGAAAGGTCTGCCCTCGTGCATCTTCGGAAAGCATAAATGATTTCCCGTTACTGTTGAACCACTCATAATAACCGTCAGCAAACATCAAGAGGTCATAAAAAATGGGCTCTCTACGGGGAAGGCGCCGATGTCGATCTTCCCATAACACGACCCACTCATGATGCCTTACCAGTCAATTTGTATTTGTCTTACCGCGTCTATCTAAGCTATGTAACTCGTCCATATTGCGAGGTGCTTCTGGAATTGGTTGAAAACAACTAAACTGCCGGAGCACACGATCAACAGAGTGCCACTCGACGGTCGCATAACAGATCAGAGGGACCATCGCCATCCAAATATCTGATGGGCCCCTCAACTCAGGTGGGATCACCGCCCTTACATCATCAGTACAATATGGCACCCATTCAAACTAAAATAAATATTATATATTTTTTATCAAAATAATAATCTAATTATATAACTATAATCTAAAATCGATTTTTAAATATTAAAATTCATACATGTGTGTCATCCTTCTGATCGATTAGCACCCTAATTTTTTCTAAATCATCAGGTAGCTCCTGATGATTTTTCCTATCAGTAGACCACCTATTCAAGGAAAAAAATTATTATACGCTGTATAAAATTATTAATATACAAAATCAGTTTTATAATTACCTCAGAAGTAGTGGAAATACGAATGGGTTCTTCACAACGGGACATAAAAAGAGCAATCAATACCATGCCCAAGACTGCAGCAGCAGGAGACATCCGCCGATAGCATTACGCCTGTAGTCAGTGGCTCCACACATCTCCCTGTACATCAAAGCCAAAACTACCGAGCCCCAACTGAATGATTCGGCCATACAAAAGTCGCTAAGATGTCGCAACCACATGCAGTGAACTAGGTTGCACGATTTGTCTGGCATCAGCAACCCTCCTATCAACTGCAGTGTGCATGCCCGTGCATACATCTTAACTTCATCCTCAGAGGCGTCTGTGCTCAACTCCCGAAAATTAGCATCTAACCAATTTAACGGTATCCTACCTCCGATAAAACTTTCCGGGACACGTCCTAGATTATCCCGGCATAAAGTAGTCCAGGAACCCTGCGAGATCCCTGATATCACATCTCTATCCACCGAAAGCCCTAGGTGCATAGCAATATCCTCAAGTGTAATCGTGCACTCCACCGCACGGAAGATGGAATGTGTGGGTCTCCGGCCTCCACCGCTCTACTAAGGCAGAAATAAGGTCTGGTTCTATCTTACAATGACTTTGATATCTACCTATGTAATCAAATCCAGCCTCTACTAAATACGGCAAGACACAACTAGGTATCATTAACTTAAGATTCCTAATAAAATGATGTAATACACGGTCCTTCTCCTAAAAAATAATAATTACACAAATTAATTCTTAATCTAATAATCATGCTTTAAATAAATCAACAAATTATTACAAATAATTTAAATTAAATTAAAACGTTAAAATATTACCGTATCAGTAAAGTGTCGAGATATATGATTTTCATCCAAGCGAAGTAGACCGCCTTCCATTATATATTTGCAAAAAAAAAATATTGGTGAAATAATAAATAAAGTAAAATGCTTAAATAAATTAAATGCATAATATTAAAAATATTAAAAAATATACCTTAAACAGAGAGTATTTGAAATAATTTGAGAGAATTTGAGATAATATGGTATGATGAAAGTAATGGACGAGGGGTATTTATAGGGAAGGTTAGGGGTAATTAAAGGTAAAGCGCCCCCTGTACTGCGCTATACCCACGTGTCATATAAACAACTATAGCGAGGATCAGGGGGTGCGCTATACCTACGTGTAAGTCATGTCAGCGTATAGTGTGGTACAAGGGGCGCGCAATACCCCACGTAACGCCAAATCAGCATATAGCACGAGACAGAGAGCACATTTTACTGCTACGGGTGTTAGATCGAGAAATATAATATAACCGGTATTAGATCGATAAATATATCAATCACCGGTGATTTTTGATAAAAACGCAGAAATCAAATGACTTCTGGTTAAATTGGATTGTCTAACATTTTTTATTAGAAAAGTTTATTCGCACAACAAACACACACGTGATTGATAAAAGAAATAGTGTTTCAGTTTCTAATTCTAGTGTTGTCCCCTTCTCTTAAAGGAATAAAAATATTAAATTTAAAATATGTGAAGAGAATGGGACCTGGGAGCATAATTAGACCACATAAATCTTTAATTTATTTGGAGTTAATTGTTTATTAGAATCTAGAGAGTGAAGTAAGAGGAAAGACAAGAGGTTAATTTGGTAAACAAATCCTAAAATAGACAAAATACCCAAACCAACGAACTAATCTGCTATTTTATAACCTTATATTTCTGCTTCATAAATGCAATCTAATTTTTATTTTATTAAACCGAACAGAACCGAATACTAAATAAACCCCACCACTACTCTATATTTCTCTTCCATTTCACCCTTCATAAAAGCCAAAGCATTTGCAAAGCCAACTCGAAACGCTATCATTCCCCCTTTTCTCTCTAACCCATGGCTGTTGAAGCTAGGCATCTCACTCTTTTACCCCCTCAATTCCTAGGAAACAGGTTAGTTTTAAAACGACCCAAATGCTCTAAACAACGAGATATTTCCATTTTCCTTTGAATCATATCTGAAAATCGTTTTGTGTTTACAGGGAAATGATGAATCCCATTGAAGCAAACGGGAATCTGTATCCTGCAGAGATGGGATACGGCTTTCCAACGGCGGCGGAAGGATTGATTCCTTTGTACAACTCTTTGCTTAACGATCAAAAAGCTGCAGCAGCGGCGGTGGCGGCGATGAAATCGGAGAGTTCTTTGACGTACAACAATGTTCTTCCATTACCCAGAAAGCGTTCGAGGGATTCCATTACTCCAATCCTTTCGTTTCCTTCACTGGCTCAACAACAACCCCATGGCAATAACAATAATAAAGCTTGCTCCCCGTTCTCGTTTCTGGGTCATGATATTTTGCTTCACATGGAACAACAACAGTTAGATATTGATCATCTTATCTTCCAACATGTGAGTTTTTTTTTATAATATTGGTGGAATTTTTCTTTCATGTTTTGATATTGATGGAGTTTGGGTTCTTTTAGATGGAGAAAATGAGGGTGGAAATTGAGGAGAAAAGGAATAGGCAAGCGAGGAAGATAATGGAGGCAATGGAAGGAGGGGTGATGAAGAAACTAAGAGCCAAAGAAGAAGAAATCGAGAAGATCGGGAAACTAAATTGGGCACTCGAAGAAAGAGTGAAATCTCTGTGCATAGAGAACCAGATATGGCGCGACTTGGCTCAAACCAACGAGGCTACTGCCAACGCACTACGGACCAACCTCGAGCAAGTCGTCGCAGCCGCCCAGCTTAAGGACGAGCTCACTCGTGGCGTGGCAGAGGCTGCAGCCGTAGAAGCGGCGGGAGACGAGGTGGATGATGCGCAGTCTTGTTGCGGCAGCAGTTGGGAAGGGGAGAAGCAGCGCACGTTAGCAGCGATAGCCGAAGAAGGTAGCATCGGTAGCGGTGGTGCCGGCCAATTCTGTAGAAATTGCGGGAAGGGGGAATCGTGTGTGCTGCTGTTGCCGTGCAGGCATTTGTGCTTGTGTGCCATTTGTGGGTCGACGGTTCATATTTGCCCCGTTTGTAAATCCACTAAAAATGCTAGTGTTCATGTTAACATGTCATAACCCCCCCCCCCCCAAAAAAAAAAAAATCAGTATACCCACGCAAAATCAAGAAAAAATTGTTGGATTTTCCAAAATTTTGTAATTAATTAGATTAATTCTTTTTCTCTAAATTTCTAGCTTGGGTTTTGGATTTTTATTCCTTGGTACATGTCAATTTTTTTCTTCCAACAAATTGGTATGCGTTCAAGGTTTTTATTGATAGGGTTGAATTAATCAAAATTTAAACTTAGAACTTTAAAAATTCTATTATTTTGAGTTATAAATCAAATAATTTTAAATTATTTGTTAAAAATGAAAATATGAATCATTGGGATTCATGTCATTTAAAAATTAAAACAATCTTCTATGATTACTAATGGAATAAATTAAATTAGGATGGTTATCTTTACTTTTACAATATTTGATTAGAATTTATTAATCAGATCAAATATTAATAATTAATTCAATAAATCAACGAAAACAAATAGTTAGCGTCGTTCAAACTTTACCAAATGCAGACTCTTATTGTTTCAGTTGTAAATGCATAAAAAGATTTGAAGTAAAAAGAGAAAAAAATTAATATCATAAATAATATTAATAAATATGCTTTTAAAAAGCTAAAAGGCAAACAGGTGGGGGCCCCACATAGTGAGGGGAATCTACCCGACATATATAGGAGTGGAAGAAGCGTAAAAGGGTAGATAGGAGTGTGGAAGTGACGTGCGAGAAACGCGTGGAGTAATCTAGGAGTGGGGGAACTGAAAAGGGCAGGTGTGTGGCAAACGCTGACACGTAGAACGCGCGCAAATGTCGCTGTTGTTTGTTCTGCCGCTGTTTGGTAGTACTAGACTACTAGTCCCCCTACTTTTTCCTTTCTCTTTCTCTCCTCCCAAAACTCACCGTTTTAAGCATCTTTTTATGATAAATCACATTGGGTCATCAATTATGGATATTTTTTTCATTTAACTACGATTTTTGTTTTTTATCATCAATAGTTATTAATTGAAAAAAAAATGTATTTGATTCTAAAATTACTATGATAATATAAAAATTAGCTAATCTTATTCCCATATGTAATTGGATAAGGGGAGGAAGGGTAGTAGACTGCCCCCAACGTCAGGTTGAGAGCAGTTTCCGTGGAAGATCTACATTATGAGTTGCCCTCAATGGGATTCGAGGACTCTCCGTTATGAGTTGCCCTCAATGAGATTCGATCCCACGACTATACGGTTAAAAGTCTTGTGCTCTACCAACTGAGCTACACAAATAATTTAATCAATTTAATCATTATTTTTTTGATAATATATTTAATCTATATTAATTAATTTAAATTTAAGCTTGAATTTTACATCATCCAGAAAATTTTTAATCAACTTAATCTTTATTTTTTGATAATGACTGAATTATTTTTTCTTTGAAAATTGTTATATTAAAACTTTTTAAAACATGAGATAAAAAGAGATATTTAGAAGACACGAGAAGGAAGCGGGGGAGCCAAAAGAGGTAAAAAGGACAAACGGTAAAGAAACAGTGAACAAAAAGTACGAACAAGTCTTTTCACTCCTGCTATTATCGTATCTTTTGATTTTTTATTTATTTTTGGCGTATTTTAGATGTCCACTTTATTTTATATAATATTATTTAAAGTATTTCTTTTATAATTTAAAATTAAAACTAAAAAATAAAGTAAATGGTAAAAGCATCTTATCATAGAAGTTGGATTACCAAAGGGGATATTGAAAAAGAGGTGTAGGCGGTTGTTGAAGGAGGCGCATCGCACGCCACGGCACGTTTTCCCTCCTCTGTCACCTCTACTCTACATTGCCTCATTTATGTCTAGAAATTCGTATAAATTTCATTATATATAATTTGAGATAGTTATAAGGTTTTTTTTATTAAATTTGCAATCGAATGAGATTGATATTTTTACTATTATCTTTTCGGACTAATATTTGGGATTTTATTTAATGCTTATTCAAATTTGAATTGATTTGATACCATTTAAAATAACAATAAAATTGAAAGATAAATTATATATATTTTTATTATAAAACATCCATAAACTATGACGTTAAAATAAATTTTATAGGATCTGTACATTAAAATACTTACTTTAACCTAATATGCATGAATTTCAATAATCTTAATAGTAAAAAAATTATTGTTATTTTTTAAAGTTTCAGATTCAAACACCGATAATATCAGAGGTATGAGCGTTCAATATTAAAAGATTGAGAGTTATATTTAAATAAAGAGAAAATCGCCTCAGTGACCAAAAATACCTTATAATATACGATTTTAACCAACTTTTTTTGGATTTGCCAAAATGACCAATAAAATCGCAACGCGATATCAAAATCGCAACGCAATTTAGAAAATCGCAACGTTAAAAAGAAAATCGCAACGGTCAAAAGAAAATCGCAACGCGAGCTTCCAAGTTCGCAACGCGATTTAGAAGAAAATCGCAATGCGATTGATAGGGTCGCAACGCGATTTATAGAATCGCAATGCGATTGAGAGAGTCGCAAAGTATTGTAATGGATGATAACTTATGAAGAATAATGATATTGGGAACAAGTGTTGGTAATGCTCAATCCCACATAGTATTGGAAACACTATTAGGAATTATATTTAAGGCTTGTATTTTGCACTTCCTTGTTGAGTGAAAGAGGACAAGGGGGACTCTCGCGCGCCGCCGCCGCCGCCGTCTCGTCTCGGGTCGGGTCGGGTCGGGTCGCGGTCGCGGTCGCGGTCGTGGTAATACGTGTCTTCGACACGTCCGCGCGGATACTATCTTTTTAGAGAAAATTCTTAAGAAACAAAATTTTTTTAACTATTCTTTTGACCGTTGCGATTCTATAAATCGCATTGCGATTCTCTCAGTCGCATTGCGATTCTCTCAGTCGCATTGCGATTTTCTTCTAAATCGCGTTGCGACTCTCTCAATCGCATTGCGATTCTATAAATCGCATTGCGATTCTATCAATCGCATTGCGATTCTATCAATCGCATTGCGATTTTCTTCTAAATCGCGTTGCGAACTTGGAAGCTCGCGTTGCGATTTTCTTTTGACCGTTGCGATTTTCTTTTTAACGTTGCGATTTTCTAAATCGCGTTGCGATTTTCTAAATCGCGTTGCGATTTTGATATCGCGTTGCGATTTTATTGGTCATTTTGGCAAATCCAAAAAAAGTTGGTTAAAATCGTATATTATAAGGTATTTTTGGTCACTGAGGCGATTCTCTCTTAAATAAATAATACAATGTACTTTCCCATATTAATAAAAAAACTTTGACCTAATATTCTACTACTATAAATGTATTTTAAATACAAATTCACATATATTATAAAAATATGACGTTAATTAACGTGTTCACCCACCTATATATGGACAAAAATAAACAAGATAAGAGTAAAGGAGATAGCTATAAAGTTTGGTAGATATTTATTGACATCAGGGATTCATGAATTTTGAAGTTTCTAATTATTTTTTATGGTTAATGAACGTGGTTTTATTATTTTAGACTTTAAATTTAACGTAAAAATAAATATTTAAATTATACTTTATGTTAATTGTTATTTTTAGGTATCTGTTACACTTTTAGTTTATTGTTAAATATGAACATATATAATTTTTAATTTGTAACAACATAAATACATTATACAGATACGACTCATAAATTTTAGAAATAACAACAATATCTTTTAACACTAAAATAAAATTGTTTGATGAGATCAAATATGAAAAATATAAGACTTAATTTAACTAATCCATATTCAAGAAACAAGATATATTATAAAATATTAATATTATTTAAAAAGCATTGAGAGGAACGATCGTTTATGTTAAAAATTTTAATTTTTTAATTTAAATATTTTATTTATGTTTTATATTGATAATATATTTTTCCTTTTTAAAATTTCATAAATTCTCCTTAACATAAAATCTTGCTTCCATCTCATATTATATCATTAATTTTTATATTATGCATGAATTTTAAATTTAGTGATATATATTATAATCAGGTCAGTTTTAGTTTATATATTTCTTTTGAATTTCAAATTTTCAAAATTTTAATCATGATTTAAATAATATAACGTTAATATGATTAAATTACACGAATTATATGATACAATGACTAATAATAAAATTTAACTATACCATTTAATTACAATTAATTTTTATAATTTTAGGAAGTACAAAAAACTAAAATAAATAAATTCCAGTATAAAATCAAATTTATGATATATATATATATATATATATAAATTTAATTAATAAAAATATAAAATTGTATTTTGAAAGACTATTAATAGGGTCGTTGCCAGATCCACCATATCAAATTCAAGGACCATCTGCCCCTTTATGGTCAGCATAACCTCCAAAACACGTGAATATGATATCTAGCAACTAATATTATTACCTTAAAAAATCTATTATTGTTGTTAGTAGTAATTTTTACCGATATTTTCGTTTTTTTTAAATATAAACAAATATTATTTAAATGAATATATGTAATTAAGTATAAGAAAACCAAAATGTAACTTTAAATGCAATGCGTGCGACATAACCAATAGCATATAAAATAAAATTTTCTTTAAGTAGAAAGAGATATTATATTCTTTAAGTAATATCAATAGTTTTAATCTTGACTTTTGTTAATATAACAAATTGAATTGAATTAATCATTTTTATAATGGACTTTTAAAAAAATCGATCAAAATTAATTGATAAAGAAACCAAATATCAACGATTAATTAAAAAAAATAACCATATGCTTAGCTGTGCCCCTCGCAATTTCTATGTTAAAAAAAGCGGCAACATGAGTGACCTAACACACTGCTCTAACAGTACTGGCCGACTCCTCGCTTCTCACCGTGGACAACGCTTTAAATGTGCGTTTAGTTTACGGAATGTGAGATTATCCGTGAGAATGTAAGATTATTAGTAGAAATATAAGATTACCAGTAAGATTATCAGTGAGAATATAAGATTACCAGTGTGAATATAAGATTACCAGG